GCCCGCCCGCCGCCCCCGCCGTTGGAGCCGTTGGCGCCGCCCCGGGCAGCCGTTAGCGCGGGCCGTTGGAGCCGTTGGCGCGCGCCGCCCGGCAGCGGCGGCCGTTGGAGCCGTTGGCGCCGCCTCAGCGGCGGCCGTTGTGGCCGTTGGAGGCGGGCGGCGCGCTGCTGCAGCCGGCTCGGTGAGTTCCCATGGCGGGGCTAATTGCCAGCCCGAGCGGGGGACGGAGGGAGGCAGGGAGGGGGTTTGCTCCTGCCGTTTAAAATTATTTTTATTTTCTCTCTCTTCCTTCCCCGCGCGTTTCTATTTGAAAATGTTATTTTTGTTTATTTATGTGTTTTATKCTGCACCTTGCGGAGAGCCAAAAAAGGGGAGGATGTGGAGCCTGCCTCGTTGCAGTAGGTTGCAGTTTGGCTTGAAAACGTGTCCGGAACGGAGTTGTTCCAAACGCGTCACCCGGAGGCGTCGGATGGAGGCCCGGCCGTGCAGAGCGCCGTGTTCCCCACTGGAAGCGGGTCCGGAGCCCGCCGGCACACAGTGCTCCGTGTGGGAATCCCTCCCGGCACCTGCTCCCCTCGGCTTTGCTGCTGCGCCGTGTTCGCCAGCGTGTGCTTTGAGTCAGTTTGGGGGTTGTTTTTGCTCCCCTTTTCCCAGCTGGGTTGCGAGTTGAGGGAGGACGTGGAAGTTGCGCGGTGCTCAGGTGGGCAGCGGCGGGAGGAGAAGGCAGCTCCGAGGCACGGAGCCATCCCYGGGCTCCTGGCGTGGAGCGCGACCGGCCGAGGGGGAACGTGCCGGCGTGGAGCTCGCCATCTGCTCCCGTGTGAAGCACTGCAGACCTGCGCCCGGCAGAGCAGTCCTGCTGCGTTTGGGTCTTGTCTTCATGGCAGGCTTCATGCAAAGCTTTTTGTTTTTTTCCTCTGAAATTCTGATGTCCAGAGGAAGCCACAGGGAATATTTTTTTATAGAGCATCAATGTATTACCCAGGTCTTTCAGCTGMGGTCGGGGCAGGAGGATTTGCATGTCAAATTGGAATTGCACTTGCAGGTTTAAATCCATTGAAACAGAGAACTTCTTCAGTTCCAGTTTGAGAGAGATCRTCATTCACTGCTCTTCTCACTATGTGCTCCAGAGGCAGAGGACAGATTGTAAACAAATCTCTGATTTATAAATCATGTAGAATCTAAGCGCTTTAGTGCAGAGTGCTTTTCTAGTAAAGTATTAAGGATTCTGACTTCATATAGCAGATTATTCGTAGTAATTATCTGTCTCTTTCTCATGTCATCTAATCTATTTTAGTAGCTCCATGTGCCTGCTTGGATCCTCCAAGAACACCTATGTCTTATTTTATTAATCTTTGAGCAATTTAGATTCCCGTAAGCTGTTCTAATACAGCATGTATATGTGAGCCTGAATTAAAAGACCGGCTTCAGCTTGCTTGGTACCTAAACCATGTTGAGGTTGAATTTAGGAGCAAGTGAAAAAATCCTAGCTAAGATTATCCTGCATCCTGTYGGTAGGTAGAGGATGAAGCCCTGGTCTTGTGCTAGTTTGATATATGCAGGCAGGACCCTTTCCAGTTTCCTGTTCCTAAAAGGATCTATCTTCTTCCTAGGTTGCAAAAACTTTTATTTGGTGTTTGTACCTTCTGGTTCTGTTTACTGAAGTTTCCTTCTTGGCCTATACCTTCCCTCTCCSTACGATGCGGGTCTCTCTATCCAGTTCCTGTTGGCCTGACCATGGTGACTGTAACGTCAGTCCTCCTGCTGCTGCCCCCTTCGCTGCTCTTTGCAAGCCCCGGGAAATGCTATGCACCTTTCTGCTTCTSCATCCAGTTCCCTCTCCGGGCGCTCACCAGCCCTCCGCTTGCCCCGTGGTGGCAGCTTTGTGGCCGAGTCCGTCCTGTTCCTCCACAACCACCTTTGTACCTAGTTCCAAGCTCTTTCCAAGCGTAGGCTTCTCCTGATTAAGCATTCAGATCCTTGAGCAAGAGTCTTACTTACCAGGAAGCTTATAACAGTTTTGCCAGCTAATCGTCTCTGTGAACAGCAGTCTTATTTAAAAACCGTGACGTTACTGAATTTCCGTATTTAAAATGGATAACCATGGCCAGTATTGTAATTTTTTTCCCCTAAAATGACAGTTATAAGTGCTGACAAGTTGGGCTGTTTAGGGTGATTTGTTTTAYCGAAACAAACCTACTCTGGAATTGCCCAAGCCATCACAGCGGCTGCTCCGGTACCTCGGTAATAGCCCAGCTGAATATTTATCTGTGCTGCTCTGTAGTCTTGCTGACGTGCGCTGCAGTGCATCTGGTTTTGTGCCTTGTGTAGGAAAAGAGCCTKGCTGCTGGACCACGTGCTTGGAAGTGCCCTGCTTGGTTGGGAGTCTTTATACAGCTTTCTGTAAGTCCTCTTTCTTTTTTTTTTTTTCCTTTTTCCAACTTCTCATGCCTGGTCCCTGCATGCCCATGGTGAGTAGGTATATAGTAGTGAGTAGGTATATAGTTCTCATGGCATTATTTGTTCTTCTGTATATAACGTCACACTCTTCAAGTCAGATTTAACAAGATTGTGAGATGAAGATACCCAATGTGATAGTTTTAATGCATTGAGGGAAATAATAGTGAAAAGTGTGTGGAGAAACCTTTATGGGTTGTTTAATATTTGTTGTGCAGAAAATAAGTATGTCGCACCAACAAATGAAGTTGATCAAATATTGAAGTTATATCGATAGCTTTTTTTTTTTACGATAGCTTTTAAGCAAATGTGTGTCTATATTTCATAAACATTGCTTCTAAAGCAAGAGGATATTAATTTAATGTTATTACTTGAGCTCAGTTTTCTGATTTCTCAGAGAATTAAAATAATTTGTCAGCTTCACTTTCAGATTCTTCCTGCGGTGGCTTTTTGGTTTCAGGCAATGCAGACARGTGTTTGTTTAGCTATTTTAGGTAAAACATTTTAACTATATTTCTTTATTGAAATATCTTTCATCAATAGATTTTTTTTCCTACTTTAAAAAAATAACAATAAGGTTTAAACTGAGAGCATGTCTTGCTCGCTACAAATATTCACTAAAGGTCTGATTCTCTTTGCTGGTAGTGCTGTTCTATGTTGGTAAAATTCCACTGACACATATGCTGTTATCTATAAGCCCTAAATGCAGAGCTTAATGTTACATCTCGGATTGTTCCAGAGTGGAGCTCATATTCACATTACCATATTGGAGAGAGGATGGTGAATGGTACAGAGAAGGTAGCTGAGGAATTTGCAGACTTTATTTTTGCTTACCATAGCATATGAGACAAGCAGTCATTCAGTGAAACTGAAAGCAAACTCGAAGCTGCCTTTTTTTTTGAACATGAATTGTATAATTAGACTGAAGGACTCGTCTCCCAGTGTGTTCCGGAAGCACAGAGCTTGCCTCAGACCTTAAAAAAAATCTTGTGTAAATCATACCGATATCCACAAGTATGCCAAACTTGTGCAAATAGTAGGGAGATGTTTTGGAGGAGCTTTGGAATGGACCCAAATGTTTATCTTCRGTGGCTCAGACCAGTACTTGAGAAACAAGGAAACTTCCAGGAGAGCAGATTATTCTGTGCCTGCCTCTGGTGGAATTCCTTGCACTTTCTSTTGGAGCATCTGGTGTTACAATCAGTGATGGGGAAAATATGTGGATCATGATGGATTAGATCTGTGGCTATTCAAATGTTTAAAAAGTTTAATTCTTTAAATGTACAGGTGCAGTCTGAGTTTGGCTTTTTTTTTGATGTTTGTACACTTAGCAACATGTTTCAAACATTTTATTAATAACCCTAAGGAAGAAAGATACAGAAAAGTGCCATCTAGATAGCTGTTGCCTTCCCCTTCCTCGCCAGATGTTTCTTCATCCAGTCTCCTTCCTGGATTTTCTCTCCTCTCTGGAATCAGAGAGGCTGCGGGCCGTTGGTTACACCTGCATCTTGTAAAGCATCTGTAGCTAAGATCAGGTCGGTGCCCTTCTCTGGTGGGTGAACGGCTGGGGTCGAGTTTTTGTGCCCTGAAGAGTCATGGGGCTGTTGCAGTCAGTGATGATATTTGTGGGTTGATCTCTTACTGCTTTCTGTAGGGTCCATATTGCTGGGAGGAGGAAACAGTTCACGCTTCTATATGGAGCTGTTCTTCGGCTGTCATAAGGCCAGGCTATAGGATAAGGTCAGGRAAAGCAGGACACGAGGAGGTTAAATTTACTGCAGAACCTGCAGAGAGAGGAGGGACAGTCTCAGCACGGGACAGTAGCTTGTGATCAGCTGTGAGGAATCATTGCAGTGTGGTTACAAACTGGGGCTAAGTGTTGGATTGGGACAGTCCAAAGGTATGGTACAGACCAAGCTATTTGGTATAGAAAATGATTATTTATTTTGGGGTAGAATTAAAGCACGGCACCTTATGGGCTGAGAATCTTTACTGAAAAGTCCTTAAAGCCTTGAGAGTAGGATAGGAGTTTGTGGTAGCACAAGCTAATGGTTTATGATGCTGTGGGACAACCAGATGGCCTTAGAGTAGACCCAGTATGATATGGGTGGGTGATACAGGGTTACTGCTGATTTATGTGAAGTTATAGTAGCTTTTGGTGGGGCAGAAGCAGCTGAGAGTTAAGTGCAACATGGAATTAAAAACCACTGGAAAAGGAGTGAGTTCTTCTATGAGTTTTAGCCTTTTCCAGGCTAGAAGTGTAGAAGTGCTGCAGTAACGGGTAGCAGGGTGACCAGGGTTAGGGATCAGCAAACTGTGCTGATGACTGTTTCCTTCTATAAAGCCTGTAAGGGCTGATTCCTGGGTGAAAAAGTGCTTTAAAGCATTACCCGTGAATAGGCCGTGGCTACTGAGCTATGGATAAAGCCACAGGAGGGACTGTGGTTGAATTTAGAGCTTGGAAATAGGGYAACTAACACACTAAGAAATGGGTTAAATTATGGTCTATGGAAGCTATGACAGGTGGAGCCAAATAGATGAGCGTCTTGTGATGGGCTCTTGAGACRAGCAGTCTTCCAGGGCTGGAGTTAAGATCCAGCTTGCCATTAAAATTTGATCTGCTTAGTTTCTTGCAGGCCAGGTAGCCGTACCAGCAGTGATTCAGGGGCTGCTTTCCCATCTCTGCAGGCAGAGGCAGCTCTAAGGCTTGTAGAGCTTTGCTCT